TCTCTCTCGTCTGTCTGTCTGTCTGTCTGTCTGTCTGTCTGTCTGTCTGTCTGTCTGTCTGTCTGTCTCTGTCTCTCTCTCTGTCTCTCTCTCTCTCAAACACACGCACACACACTGAATATCACGCACATACACAAACACACCCACACACAGACACACACACAAACACACACACGCACGCGCACACACATATATACACACGCACACAAAGATGCACAGACAAACAGAATGTACCAATACGCAGACGAACTTAAAATATAAAAAAAACAACAACCCACCACCAACAACAAACAAAAACAAAATCAAAACCCCCCAAAAACGACATAACGTAAGCATAAAATAAACTCGACCAGAAGAAAAACTCATACATATATATATATATATACACATTGTTTCCATTCTTTTTATTGCGTTACAGTAGCACAATTTCCATCTCCTCTATGCACACAGCACTCATTTTCTCACCAGTACATTTCATTATAATTCGCCTGCTCTCGTTTTGAAATAATATTATTAATTTAGATCTAACATAAGCAACACAATCACATATGCCTACTTCCTTTTATTTGTGCATTAAACGATAATTAACCTACATCACAGCTGGGCCAAACATAGAACCGAATGTCTTCTTTTGGTATTTATAAATCTATATTACCGTTTTGAATCGCATGGAATTTGTCTTTGTGAATCTAGACCTATGTATTAATACTGCCTTGAACTGCAGAGGGCATAAATTATTATGAATAATGATATTTATATTAATACTGTTTCCTATTTAAATCGTATGAAACATATCCCTATGAATCTCTTAATACTATTTTAATTACATCGCACGGGGCATATCTCTATGAATCTGCAAAGACTTTTTTTGAATGACATGGAACCTACATTTATTTATCTTTGACATCAGTATCATTCAAATAAAATTCTACAAACCGGTTTGTTGAGTTTTTCTGTCAGTGCCGGATCCGATACAAGAAAAGAACTGCGGGGGGTCAAACCACTCCACCGACTTTCCACTTGATTAACCTTATTATGACATGTAGCCTATACATATGTGAAACTGGCTTGTTTACTCGGATGTTGAAACTTTCAAAGTGTATCTTTATTTATTTATTTATTTATTTTTTAGCTTCCGTTCTCCTTTTTCGTCTTAGCTACCGCCCTCTGTAATTCTCT